CGGCGCGAGCTCGGAGGGAGAGCCGAAGCAGGCCGCAGGGCTTGGGATGCTGTCGCAGGACCAGTCCAGCTGAGTCTAGGAAGCAGAAACCTCGGAAGGGCATCTACGGCCATTGCTGTCGGTTTGGCCATCTTGTATATGTGTGGTTTGTGGTTTTGTTGTGTTGGTGTTTGAAGAAGCAATCCCCAATCCCAGGGGAGATTATTTTGGTGCTAGCAGCACGGGTGGGAGATTGGGAATGACTAGCACCCAGTGACGGCATGTCGTTGCAGCTGACCCACTTGGGAGCGCAGCTTGCCGAAGACCGGCCGCGGGTGTCAAACACTTGGAAGGCAGGGGGGCACGGGTGGGAAGGAAGGACCCTTCGTGCCTTCCATCTTGCCTTCCTTCCTCGTGCCCGCCCATTTGGGTCGTCCAGTCGGGTCGTTTGGCTGCCTGAGGCACGGACCCTCTCAAAAAATTCTCGCGGGCGCACTACAAAACGCGACCTGCGCAGCGCACTTTTGCTCTGTTTTCCTTCCTTTCTTCTTCATTATTGAACAACGCAAAATAAAACATTCATGTTCTCGTGAAAACAAACGTCTGTTGAGAGGTTCGCTCTTTTGCTGGACCCAGGACCATCGGACACGGAGATCGAAATGGAGAAGGAAGCGAACAATCTTGGGTGCGGTGCCCCTCGGCCTACGGGCACGTGAGGGGGACCGCAATGATTGAGCGTACATACTATGTTCGACCATTGTAAACTTTTGATGAGTAGAAATGCTCGCCTGATTGTAGTGTTCCATCTGTGCATTGCCCTGGCTCACCAGGTTTATCAGGTCCTAGACAGAGTCTTGTCTCATGGCACCAGACTGAGGCAACGGACTGAAAGTGTTCATGCGGTGACTGGCTTGACGAACCTCTGGCTCGGCGTCGACCAAGAATGCGCAACACTGGAGAAAGCTGCGGCTCTTTCCTGGTGTGAGCTTTGATATTGTCGGAGACGATCAGACACATACTCTTGTCCTTCCCTGAGGCACTTGCCAGGAGCTCAAAATTTGTCACTGAGATGCTGTACAGGGTGTACCAGCCATCCGGCACCTCACTTCAGCAGCAGACAAGATCTGATTTCCGTCAAGAGAATTCCATTACTTCTAGCCGAATGAGACAAGCGTCACGAGCGTCAAGTTCGAGGCTTGACCACCATCATACACATGAAAAAGGCGCCAGGAGGTTCTTTCCTCCATCGCCTATATGAATATAAAAAAAAGACGACATCATATGTCTTATCAGCGTCAAGCAGCCTACTATCAGAAGAAACAACCGGAGTGTATGTTTGTGTTCGTGTTCGTGTTCGGGTCATTATTCTTTTTGTCCACCTTTTCCTTTGTCGATATTGTATTGTCGAATCCTGGCTCGACGGCCAGAGGTTTGAAAATATTGCACTAGGAAGAAGAGTAGCTCCTTCAAAGTTGATATGGAGATCCGGCAGTAGTTACTTCTGAAGTCTCGTCAGTCAAACAAGTTCTATCAGGATATCGACGGAACAGAAGATCACAAACATACCTCTAGGCAACGGCCTCAAGCAGGTCGCGCGCAGCAGCCTTCATGGCCTTTAGATCGCGAGAAGCCTTCCACGCCGCGGGATCAGCCGACCGCGTCCAGCAGTCCTGATCATGACTGGTGCAAAAGGCCTCGGTCTTGGCAGCTTGAGCCTCATTTCCCTCCTCCTCGCCGTCGACGACACCATCAAGAAGTGCTTCGGCGGCGCGCCTCGCAATAGCACACGGCGCACCAGGCCGATTACACCAGTGCCTCTCGCCAGAATGGACGTCATCACCACTCGTCTCAACATCGCGCTTCCAGCACGGCTGGCCAATAAGCTTACTATTGCACCACCCCCCCTCAGCCTCCACGTCTCGACGCGCGACAACGGCCTCTGCCTCTGGCGTATCAGCCGCAAAGTGGTTGCCGATATCCAGCCCGCCATAGTAGTAGAACGGATCATCCTGCGAAGCGGCCACGATGTCGGCAAGCTCGTTGAGCGCGCGCTTGGCCGTGTAGGCGGCGCCGCCCCGGGCATGGGAGGCGAGGGCCTGCGGGGAGTCACGGTCGACGACGAGGTCGTCTTTTGCGAGGGCGACGGCGAAGGTCTCTGCTGCGCGTTTGACTTTCCAGCAGCCTTGGCCTACGGCCTGGCACCAGCCTTGTTTTCTGCCCGGCCAGGTTGTTAGGTATTTTAAGGGTTTCTTTGCTTTGGGGTCTCGTTTCTGTGTCTCCGTGGTTGTCTCTGTGATCGTCACCGTATCGGTCTCGGCCTCGGTCTTTGTCTTCCAGCATGGCTGGTTGATGTCTAGGCACCACCCTTTTCCCGGGACGGCCTCGCGCTTGAGCGCGGCTGCGCGCTTTTCCTTTGCTTTCCAGCAGCCTTGGCCTACGGACTGACACCAGCCCGTCTTCCTGCCTGGCCAGGTGAATACGTGATTGTAGGGGTTTGCTTCCGGGAGGGCGATGGCGCTGGTGGTGATGGCCAGGATGGCTAGGGCTGCGAGGTACTTCATGGTTTGATGGTTGTGATAGCGATTTTGAGTATATTGTTTGGAGTTCCGTGAGGTAGATGTTCGATGAATGACGGTTCAAGAGGTTGTTTGGGTTTAATTGGTCGAGTCTAAGGCCTTGTTGCTTGTCTGCGTCTGCCCGTGTAGGATGTGAGTTGAAACGAGTGAGGAGGAAAGCAAGAGATCTGGGTCTGATCATTGTCTTTATAGATGAGTATTCGCAAACTGTCTACATAGTCAGAGTCTTCAGAGTTTGATGTCTTTGCCATGATTGACGGTGTTCATCGAGGGAGAATCTCGTGGGTTCACAATCTTTGGCGTTAAGGAGTTCTGTTCTGAGACTTTGGTAGCAAGGCAAACTCGGCAGGCGCTTACAAACACCCGCGGGTTTTTGGTTCTTTCAAAGGAAATACACAAGAGACTTGTGTTTCTTCACCTTGTTTTCTCCTGGGGATACAAAAGGTAGGGGAAAGATCGGCCAAGGACAAACACTTCACGTTGGGAAAAAGTCCCTGCACAACACTTGACTCGTACGAGAAATTTCGGACTTTGAGAGAGCCAAGTAACCAGAGTTCAGACGGCGCAGCGATTTCCTGCAGTTTGGCTTGTGGTTTTCGCCCAAAGAAGCTACACAAGGAGCGAGTTAGGAGCATGGAATTGGCAGGCCATTGTTGCTTACAGCTGTGGTGTTCATGAGCTTTCTTTTAGCGAAGCGTACAGAAGGGAGCAGGGGTTGTCCTGACATTTCTTCATTCGGATGGCTATCCGTTGAATCCTTTGGGCCAATGAAAGGTTTCCAAAACACAGGTGTAACGAAGCAGGCAATCTAGGGATCGGGCTTTGGTGAGATTCTAGTACCACGGCAGTGACATGGAAGTTCATCAATTGACGTTGGACCATAGAGACAAGCAACAAGGTAGGGATCGTAAAGTCGGCTGGGGCTCTCAGGTTATACATCCACCGTTGGATTTCAAGGGTGAAGCTTCCATCGACGCCGTGCTCGTGAAGCCGAGACTCTCAATTACCCGAGACTGAAGGGATTCCGAATGTGTTGTGCTTCGTAACGAAAGACTACGAAATACATCCATTCCAACATCAGTGTCACAATTACTTTCTCAACCTTTGGTCCAACTGTTGGTCCAAACCAGATATAGACGAGAACTCTTCCAAGTTCTAGAGATCTTTTTTGCTTGGGCTTTCAAGTGTCACCTTCAAACTTCCCAACCTTGCTTCCCCGCGTTATCCATCTGTCCCACCAACACCCTGGCCCCTGCCTAGCGGCGCGCGTCCTCCGTCAAGGGTTCACTGGGGACGAACCATTCCAGGCTCAGATAAGGGATCAAGATATCCATTTATCGACCTAAACCTTCAAAGTCTTCAAAGATCGCGCAAGGTCCTTATCGAGGGCTTTGATAACTCTGCAGAGAAAGTTTGGGCAATGATTTACTTACGCAATGGCTACCGGATACTCGAGGGGGTAGCGGTAGGCAAGATTCTATGATACGAGGGAGGGAATGATCTCGGCTATGAACTCTTGTCTTCCGGTGTGGACCCTCGATCTCGCAATGCGAGAATCTAGGGGACTTGGGAAATGTATCCTTATGCGGCCGCTAGAATCCTCGGGTGGGACGGGAACATGCGGAAGAATGTTTGCCTACACTACCAGAGCCATCCTGATATCCAAGCTCTCGGGTTTTGGCTGGCCAAGCCTAAGCAGGGAACAAACAGCATGCAAGCCCTTCTCGAACCGGTGGTCTGGCCTCTTGGCGATGACTGATCAGGCAACCTCGTTTGATGGGACTCCTTTTGAGAAGATTCCATTGTGACATCCTGCCATTCTGCCTGCCATGAGACCATGCCACAGGGAAACCCGCCCTTCGCCCTTCGCCCTTCGTCTTCGGTGAGCACTTGGCCTTGTGCTCTGTCCTTCTATCTATTCACATGTTGTCAAACCCTCTGCTTTCTTACAATAGTCATGGAAGGAAACAACCCAAGACAAAGAAGACAAGACTCGAAGAAAGGTGGCGAGACTTGAACATGCGTTTTGATGGCCCGGCTATTGCGTGCTTTCTTCCTTGTTCGGGTCTTTACCTGTCGTTGCATCCCGCCAGTAGAAGGGCTGGATCGAGCTTCGTAACGGTGGACACATCAATCCAAGCTGGTTACGTGAAGCGAGAATCATCTTCTCTCATGCACGCGTCAACTTACGAAAGTGCTCTTCGTGTTGATCATGAGGTTGGATTAAGAAGGGGCTGTTGCCGATCAGATGCGAGGAGGATGTGCTCACCCAACTCATGTTCCAGGCTCTGGTCTAAGGCGAGCATGAGAATCCCACATTGTGTTTGTGATCGTTAGCCGCGCGACGACCACCACGTGTTGCAAGGAACGAGAGTTTCCTGGTGTCGTGAGACAGCTTGCAAGGCCTTTGGGGTGTCCTCTCATGGGCAGGTAGGAGGTGAAGAACGTAGTTGGAGCCCAGCGTTCATGTGACGCTAGTCTACCGAGATCCTCAAGCATAGCAACAGTTGTGTGGTTGCATTCTGGCGATTGCCAATACCTCAAATCTTTCCGTCACGACTGCATCCCACTTTGGAGTAACTCCTGGTTAAAGAAACATGAGCAGGTTGAGACGGCTCGCGACTTTGCAATTGCCCATGCATCCTCGCTCATTACACCTGAGATCGGGCTACATTCTTTCAGTCGTTCGCTCTTTGCTGGAGGGCGTACATCATATGAGAATGAAATCGTGGAGAAGAGTCCTGCTTTCGCTCCAGATGAGCCCAGGATGAGGTGCCAACATGAACTTATTGAAAGCTGTTGGTTGACCGCACGCGTCGAGCTGTGCATTTGAACGGCCCGTAGTGGTTGAGTGAGAGCACCCGCATGAGAAAAGTGAAAGGTGGTTGGGTTTATCGTCGTCGGGGAAAATGAGCTATCGCCGTGGAGTCGCGCCAGCTCAGCTAGACGGGCACGGAAAATACGAAAGAGAGATTCCATACCTGCCAATGAAGGTGGGAAACAACGCAAGCAGTCTCTCTGCCAGTAATCGATTCATGGAGTGCATGTGTTCTTGAGGCGGGGATATTTGCCTGGAGGGGGAAAAAAGAAGGCGCATCGCGCTTTGCTGTGTGAGTAGGTAAGTAGATGATGGCGTTGACTTCAGGGAAGGGTGTCTGAGAACAAGACGATGTCGGACCTAAGCAGTCTAAGGTAGGCTCGACTGAGATTTAGCGCTCAATTTCTCGGCAGCTAATTTTGGAGTCAAGTTAGATTGAGATTGCATTGCCTGTGGGATGGTGAGATTGTGAGCACACCGCCAGTTCTGAGATCTCCAACGACTCCAAATTGGAAGGTCCAAGGAGGAGGCTCCAAGGTGCGAGCAGTAAGTAAGCAGGCGTGGCAGGCAAGCACCTCAGGCAAGGTAGACTCCAAACGGTAGGAGGTTCGGCTCCGGGAAATTTACACAAAGAACCTAAGAAAAGTCGCACAACCGCAGACTCGAGCTTGAGTCTTTTTTCTTTTCTTTTTTTTTTTTGTTACTGACCGGTCTATCCAGTCTCCAGATCGTTGTCTACCTACCTAGGCCGGATTCGAGCAAGACAAAAAGGACAGTCCCGAGCGTCGCACTACTAAGGTCGTGAGACGAGCCTCATTGCTAGTCTTTGTCAACTAAGGGTAAGGAGAATGAGCTAACATGAAGACGGTCAATTGGTCTGCTATCGGGGGCTGTATGATGTATGCTCGAAATGGGGGCGAATTTGAATTGCAGGATGAGATCATCAATTGTGGTGGTCGGTATCGGTGTCTGTAGGTAGGTTGGTATCACAGTGCATGACCTCACCTCAAGCGGGCGGCGGCAGGTATTTCAATAACCGCCAAGTGCGACGGTTACACTACGGATAAGACTAACCTGAGTCAAGTTCCCCAGATTAAGTTCCGAATCCGCCATTGTTTTGCCCGCAGTCTCAAAGGAACCTCAATGTTTACTTACCCCAAGTTACCTAAGGTATGGGCAACAACATTGCTTATAGTGGTTTCAATGACGGGACATCTGCGAGTGGCCGTCCCCGGATGGATCCCGGATGCTTCACCAGCATGACGACATGCCATAGATCTCGGGATGATGAAAGTGGGGAGGCAAAGAAGAGGATGGATACCTACCTTATGTTAAGGTAGGTAAGGTAGGTAGGATGATGAGATGCTGCTTGCACGTGTGTGGCCAACGGTCAAGCGCCGATCATGAACCGGTCAGGCGGTGAGGTGCATGCATTTGTGTGGGGCGGTGTCGCGGGCCGCCAATGCCGTTATTTCTTGCCCGCTGTGCTGCTGCTGCTGCTAACGCAAGTCACCACGCTCACTACCCAGGCACTCTGGATAGGTACTCCGTGCTGCGTAGGGGGAATTACTTGCCTTTCCAAGCCTCCCCCATTGCCCCCCAGTTACGGAGTACACTACCACGACTACCTACGAGTAACGAGACTACCCCCCGGGCCATTGCTTCCCCATTGCGATTTGCGGCTTGAGCTGCCCCCCAAGCTTCCCAAAGTCCAAGGGGGCCCCCCAAAGGAAGGCCCCAACCTCTCCCCACGACCCCGCAGTAATTTACATGGTGCCAAAATCGTCATCCCGATCCTCTTTCTTCTTCTCTCCCATACCCTACCTACCTCACATTTCTCTCCAACATTCCAACCTCTGAAAGTCTGAACTGTGTAGGAGAAACACCAAGACATCCAGACAAAGGAGCCTCTCACGATACCTACACCATGCCTCAATCAAAACGAAAAGACCCCAAAGCGTTTCCTACGCGCCAACTGGCCGTTCTTGGTACGCCCAAACCTCTCTCCCCCCTCCGTCTCATTCTCGAGAAACTCAGATAAGAAAGCTTCTTATCAGCGCTGTCCAGTGCCATTCACTGCGACTGCGGGCTAACGCGCGTCACAAACAACAGCGATATGTCGATTCTCCGAGCCCATCGCCTTCAATTCCATTCTGGCCTACACCTATGAAATGGTCAAGGATCTCGGCATGAAGGAGGACGCCGGTTTTTACGCAGGTCTTTTGATCTCCGCCTACGCAGTCGCCGAGGCCATGACCTCAATGGGATGGGGAACGCTGTCCGATCGTATCGGTCGCAAACCCGTCGTGCTATTTGGTCTGGTCGGTGTCGCCATCTCGAGTTTGATCTTCGGCTTCGCAAAGTCGTACTGGGTCGCTTTACTGGCCCGTTTTGTTGGTGGCGCCCTCAATGGCAACGTTTCCGTTATGCAGACCATGGTGGCAGAAATGGTCAAAAATCCCGACCATGAGCGTGAGTCTCTCTCTCTCTCTCTCTCTCTTTGCCGGTGTAATTATCGGCGCAAATTGCGGCGAACGACAGCTTACTGATTTTTTTTTTGTTGGGGAACAGCCAAGGCCTACGCCGTACAACCCTTCGTATGGACACTGGGCGGCATTATTGGCTCTGCCATGGGCGGTTTCCTCGCCCAACCCGCCGTCTACTACCCTTCAGTATTCTCTCAAGATGGCGTTTTCGGCCGGAATCCGTACTTGCTTCCAAACCTGGTGTCCATGGCAGCAATCTCCCTTGCTGTCCTGCAGGGTGCTTTCTTCTTGGAGGAGACTCTCGAATTCGAGGAGGACGACGACCTCCACAATGGTCGCAACAGCGTCGCCGTCGATGATGATGACGCCGTCGATGAGACCACGCCCCTACGCCGTGCACCAATCCGAACCTTCAACCCGCGTCGTTCAATTTCCACCAGCCATTCGCGACCGCGCTTTGCGGAATCTAGCTTGCCCATGCCTTTCGAGCACGACTTTGACCTGAGGAGATCGTCCTTTGGAACGGTACATTCGATCAAGGTTATCCCCGAAGACCTGCGGCAACACCTCTTGAACTCTCGTGCCCAGGCTACGGGACAGAAGAAGGTCAAGACGTTCAACAAGACCGTCGTCATGCTCATCGCTGCCTTCATCATCTTCTCGTACCACCAGATGGCCGCCGGTACTCTCTTGCCCACGTATCTACTCGACGATCCCTCTGACCCCAAGCATCCGCGCGGACACCTCGATTTGCGTGGTGGTCTGGGATACTCCCTCCACGACGTCGGTGTTTATCTGGCCATCAACGGTGTTCTTGGACTGCTCATCCAGGGTCTCATTTTCCCCATCTTTGTAGAACGCGTCGGTGTTTGGGGCTCCTTCATTTCCATGATTGTCGTATACCCAACCGCGTATTTGCTGCTGCCTTTCTTGTCCGCCCTGCCTGAAAGCCTCACCGAGGCTGGTATTTGGTTTTCCCTCATCATGCAGAGTTTCTACGGTATCATCATTGGCCCCGTCACCCTTATCCTGATCAAGAACGCAACGCCCACATCGCAAGCCCTCGGAAAGGTCAATGGCGTGGCCATGTCCGGTGCCTGTCTGGCAAGAACCGTCTCCCCGCCCCTCGTGGGAGTCATTTACAGCGTCGCTGGCTCTGCTGCGGCCTGGTTCAGCTGTGCCCTCTTCGCCGTTGTTGGACTGATACAGGTCATCTGGGTGCCCAAGAAGCACATCGACGTGGACCACGTTGAGATTGACAATGCGATCTCGAGACGTTTCTCAGTTACATCCATGAGGAGAGACAGCATCGAATCATCCCGTGGCCGCCGCTCGAATGGTGTTGTTTAGGTGGATGAAAGCAAATGCTCGACATGCCTGCAACCAACCCACTGGGGCGAGGGGGAGTTTACCAACGACCATGCTGATCTTTTTTGCTTCTTTGACCTTCCATCCTTCTCATCATACCTTTGTTGCGTTCTATGGCATTGGCATATGTGCGAAGCTGTGCGACAACATTCTCATTTAATGAGCCTTTTGGTAACGGTCTATCATGGGGTGTTTTGATATTATCTGATCTATGATTTTCTGTGGTGTTGATATACGCGCTCATGGTCTTATGACGTTTTCCAGAATGGAATGCAGGCGTTCTATATATACACGAATCTCTTTTTTATGTTGACAACATTTACGAATGATTGTTTACTCGCGGGAGTTAGCCACGCATACGAATTGACTTTATTCCATCCTTTCGATTCTCTGTTCCCTTGGACGTGTGTCTGCAGTTCGCGGTCTGCAGAGAACAGACGACGGAACGAACATGCATCAGATGGTCATCTGGACACAAACATTGGCAGAATTTCTGACGTACACGGTTGCGTTAGGCGCGCTAAAGTTTAAAACAGTAACCGCGCAGGTCATAGCTCTGCGATAAGGTGGGAAGCTAGGCTCGGTCCAGGTTAGCAAAGTGAAGTGTTGTCTTGTTCAGCCGCGGAAGACATGTGAGAAGCTAAGATGGTGTAAGTCATGACTTGACTAGTAAAGACTCGACATCATGACATATTACCACCAGATTCTTTACGGATAGTACTGCACGGCCTTCCACACTTGATAAGATGAATGCTGGTAGGATGTGGACACAAATGTAACACGAAAGGTTAACGGTATGTTTCTTTTCATCGGCCAATGGTGACTGTGATTTAAAATATGAATGTGAGTCTTTGATGTTTATCCATGGCTAATGTACTAATTCAATTCAACTGGAAGTTTCCTTACTTCTATGCCATATCCAAGTCAACATGTTTTACAAACCATCACTCTATTTAGCAAGTTACAGTAATACATTCTCTGTTTTCTAGACCATGTTTCAAAAGCCCAATCAGTGCTCTGATATGAATCACAGCCCGTTGTGTCATTTAATTGCCCTTAATCGCATCACCAAACGTCAGAAAATATCTTTCACAGACGGCACTGCTTTGGTGTTACTAAGTAATTATCTTCTTGGAGAAGCATGGGATTAAAGCTCTCTCACTTCACGGCCTAGCTCGAGGAATTGTGGCATTGTTTTCTAGTCTAAACTATAATATTCCACAACAAAATGTGTATCAGCTTTAGTTTAACAACTCGAACCGAAGACTTCGCAACTTTGAAACATGTACCAAATCAGCTTGTTCTCGTTCCGATTCTTCATCGGGAAAGGACATTAATCTTTGGGGCGAACCAGTGTTACGAGCAGGTCAAGGCAACCAACTGTGGCACAAAGCAAAAGCTTCGATAATGATGACTCCGCATCATTTTCCCTTGTTCTGCATTATATAACTACGCCATGACAGGACCAACTGTTTAGGCCGTAACAACCAGGTACGGGTGGTCGATAATTTATGCTGCCTGCGGTATGGTCTCCACCTTGATGATGATGATGATGTATTTAACGTCTGGTAACAAAAGGACGTGCCGGGCGCTATGCAGTCTCCACCTTGGATCGTGGATCATCGCGATATGGTTACACCGGTACGAAGTACAGATCATGTGCTGTACCAAGAACAGGGGGGGGGGGGGGGGTTTTAGCCAGGGCATGAGTGGAACCGCCTTGAGTCTTTCCTTCGATGGGCTGACTTGCCATGTCTGCCTTGCTAAGTTGTTGAGCAAGCAGATATCGAAACATGTCAAAGGTATTCCAGGAATCCCAGGTTGTGGAGAAAGACTCGTGGCTGAAGAAAAGGGGGTTCCTGAAGGTAGAACTCCTTCCAACCCCTTGTTATGCTTTACAAGGCTAGACAATACGCTTGCTAGTTCGCTCTGAATAGTTCAAAAAATGGTATCATATCAATGCCTCTGTCCTCCTTCGCCCCCCAGCCCCTATGCATGTTGTCCTCAAACATCCTGCTTCCTCTCCTTATCCGTCGGATCCGACCACGACTCGGGTTCACTCGGCGTCGCAGCATGCACCGTCGTCCTCTTGCTCACAATACTACTCGGGTCAAGTATATTCTCCGTACTATCCTCCGGCTTCGTCGTCAAACTGCCGTCCCGATCATCATTCGTCCCTGTCCCCAGCGGCTGCATTCCGCTGCGCCTCGTACCCCACGTCTGCAGCGCGTATTTCGAGCTCTTTGGTCGTGAAGCACCGCCGCAGCAGCCGCCGGTGGTGCTGCCTGCGTTGCGGCTCCGCTCGGCAAAGTACTTGACCATCGGGGCCAGCGTCGGGACGCACGAAATGATGATGCCGATGCAGGTTTCGACGACGGACCATTGGATTGATTTGGCCGAGTCGAGGTAGTTTACGAGGTTTTTGATGGTTTGGATTCGGATGGCTTGGATTATTGTGACGAAGATGCCGAGGATGAAGAGCGCGAGGAGGACGATTTTTTTGCGTTTTTGGATTTGGGATTTGAGGATTACGGGGAAGGGGAGGAGCATTCTGTGTTCGCCGTGTCATCAGCATCGGGCACGTCTTGAGAGGTGGAACGGTTGAATTTATGGTTCTGGGACTTACATGATTACGTCAAAGACAATGGTCAGTGATGAAAAGGTTAGGTAGAATGTGATTGCGTCTACGCAGTGGCCTTCGTCTGCTGGGATCGACGGGTCGTACTGCTTTTCGATCTGGCCGCGCGTTCGCGTGTTAGTTGACATTCAACTTTTGGTAGACGGAGAGCGTTGAAAGGAATTACCGGTGTGCACAAGAAGATGAAGACGCACATGAAGGCAATGTGTCCCATCGTACAAGCTACCGCGACGATGATGGTGCCAATCTTGTAGCCACCGGCGGGGAAGAATCGTAGATAGGAGAATAGCAGGCTCATTTTGAAGCCCCAGATGCCGAGGACGTAGCTAAAATACACTGTCAGCTGAGTCCGTATCATGTTATATTTCACTTTACTACAAAATCCCTTACAATGGACCGCCGATGAACTGGAGCTGTTGATTGATGGTTAGCACATATCAGGTCTAGAGTTCGGCAAATGTTCTTACTTTGCCAAAGGGAAGCACATTTTGTGGAGGCATATCCTCAAGTCTGGTAATACCCAAGCCCCATTTCGTCTCTGTACGTCTGTTAGACTCGAATAATAAATCCCACTTTGACGGGGAATGCATACGAATTACGCTGCAGACTGTGTAGCCGCAAGCTCCGAGCTACGAAGGATCGTTAGTACTTCGGAAACAGGCAAAATGATGGAGAATTTTATGCTGGCGTACCCAGGAGACAATGATCACCCAGTCATCTAGAGATTTACTTTGTTAGTCTTTTCCTGCGCGACAGACCCCCCTGGCATCCGCAAGTAATCAACATACCGTAGCCAACAGCCTTGACCAGCGTTGTCCGAACATACCATCGCAAGCAGACCAACAAGAGCGCAATGATGGTAAAAGTCAGACAAACCGCCGTTATTCGTGGTCCATCAGTCGGTACATCGTCAGGCGTGTTGTACGTCCAGCCGGTCATGATGGGGTTCGGGACGTTTAGGATGTCGACAGCAAAATAACAGCCCAGCAGAGAAGGGGGACGGGGCACGAACTATCGAAATTGGGTACCGCCGACCTTAAAGACAAGGTCAGGACAAGCCCACACCAAGTTTATACCACACTAAGGTAAGGTACGGATAGGCAGATTTCCATTTTTATTTTTTTGCTTGCTCTCCCCTTCTTCTTCTCCACGTACTCACGAAAGCCCGTCTCCGAACCCAGTGGTGTTCTGCGGCAGACCCTTGCTGCATCACATTTTCGTCGCGGCTGCGGCACTGCATGTGTGAGGCGTCGAAATTGCGCGAGTGGCTTGCTGAAGAGATTCGGGCTCCCAGGTTCTCCACATGTGTGTGCCAGGGCCATAATTGACGATTACCTATGCCCCCGGTGCCTTACTCTGGTCTGTACGGAGTACCTCACTCTCAAAGAATTACGCTAGGCTAACCGGCCGGCGCGCGCCTAAAGAGATTCAAAGGCGAAATCCAGCCGGGCGGGAAGGATGCTGCAGTGTCGTTTCGATGGTGGACTTTTTGTGCGCATTTGCCGCATGCGTAGTTCACTAGTTCGGCGAAGCAAAGCTTACGCTCGTGGCCACCATGCGGGGAGGACAGGTCCTGACGTTATGGCAAGGTGTGACATAGTGTAGCGTCGGCGATGGCTTTGTTCCTGGAGATCCGGCTCCGAATTACAAAAAGCTCGCCGAACGGCGCGCGTTGTGTCTCAGTCACAGAGACTTGGACATAGACAGACACCACAAACCACACCTTGTCTGGATCTGTGTCTCGACTCTGGAGGGCTCCCCCATCTCTGGTTGTCACCCTCCCTCCAGATCTTGTGTCTGTGAGGCCCTCGTAACATTGCGAGACCATGCAAAACACACCATCTAAGACACGGTTCGTATCCCTCACGCTCATCTATTTCCAAACGTTCGCCTCGCTTTTCCCTGGCTCGAGCAAGGCCTGGGCCGGTGGGTGAACGTCTGATCGATCATCGATCAAAATCGGTTCCCCAAGAAAGCCCGTGTTCCCGCCCTATCATCGAGTGCCCGTACGACGGTACGACGATACGACTACGGAGTACTTCGTAGAGAGAGGGAGAAAAAAATCACCCCAGGAAGCTGGCGTTGCAAGTCCGGCAGGGCATAAAAACGAAATGAACCACAGGGCCGCCATTTATGATATCTGATCTTTACAGAGGAGCCTAACCTGTAGAAACCCCGGTTCTTCAAGATTAAGTTTTCGCGGATAACCCAGGTCCGTCCCGCCAGGGTTCACGAGTCAAGCGCGGGCAGGGGTGCCGAGATGCGGCGAGCCCGGCGAGGCAAATCGGGAGGCCGGAGCGACCCCGGATGTGGGTCCCCCCGCGCCGCGACCCTTGCGGTAACTTATAAACCCCCCCCCGGGCCGCCAAGATGATGAAGAGCGGTTTTACACCGTTGGTTCAAGGGTTTGTAGCGGAAAGACGGCTTTTGGATTTCTCCATTTGACAGTTTCCCGAAGATTAGGCGGACCAAGGAGAGAGAGAAATTTTACATTTCTTACTTATCTTATATGGCATCCGTAGTGCCACAATTTGTTGTTGGTCCCAACGACTTGCCCGCCTGCATATGGAGGGATGCAAGGTACGAATCGTCAGCAGAGATGAGCCGACCAACGGCAGACGGCACCGGCATGCGGGGGGGCGCAGTGCTCACTCACCCCGTCGAACCCCGGAGATCATGTCTAGAATTGTGCAAAACCGCGCAGAAAGTGCTGGTCACCGAGTGGAAATATTGATGGTGTCTTCAGGATCTTATCCTGCGGTTGCCACTCTTCTCGTCTTGACAAACGGGTAAACACAGATTGAGGCAATTTAGTAAATGGAAGAGTCCACTTTGGGCAGCGTCGCATATACAATATCAGGAAGGCATCTGCCTCGTGTAAAACTTTTTCAGAGTGGTTTGTCTCTTTTGGCCCCCTCTCTCACGGTCTCACCCCCTCCCCCCCCCCCCCTCTCCGCCTTTTCGCTCTCACGACATCGTCTTCCTCCGCCTCCTTTTTTCGTTTGCGTTTTGCTGCTCGGACTGTGCAGCGATCTGCGAGCAAGGCTTAAGCCCAGAGAAGCACGTTCCAGTCCCTCGAAATAACCTTACGGTTTATTTACCCCATTGCCAAGATGCGCGCCTCGATCCTCGCTTCCTTGGTCCTGGCCGGCGGGAGCGTTTCCGTCGTCGCCGCCAGGTGCTCGGGCCTGGGCAGCTCGACAAACTCGACGACGGCTTCGTGCAAGTATCTCCCCGGAGACGCGGGATGGCCCTCTGTGAACACCTGGGCGCAGCTCAACGAGACCGTTGGGGGACGTCTGGTCGCTACCGTTCCGCTGGGAACCGCATGCCACGGCGATGCCTACAATGCGACTGAGTGCGCTCGTCTTCAGGAGGCGTGGCTCTACTCGGAAGTTCAGTGAGTATTTCTCTCTCCCTCTCCCATTTTCCCTCTCCTTCTCGACTTCAAGTCAGCTCGCAGTCACACCTCCCTCATTGGGGAGTTGCGTGATCAAAACCCGCGTCCCGCGCGTGTGAGGAGATATCATGGACAAGGACTAATGACTCGCGCCCAACTCTTACAGCATGGAGTCCTCCTCCTCGGTCATGGCCCCCCTGTTCGCCAACGCCAGCTGCGATCCCTTCACGGCGCAAGACGTCCCTTGCACCTTGGGCAACTATGTCAGCTACGCAGTGAACGCCTCAGGGCCCGCGGACGTCCAGGCCGCGCTCAAGTTCGCAGACGAGAAGAACGTGCGCTTCATCATCCGCAACACGGGTCACGACTACAACGGCCGGTCTACCGGTGCCGGCGCCCTGGCCATCTGGACCCACTACCTCAAGGGAACCGAGATCGTGGACTGGGAGGATGAACATTACGCCGGCAAGGCTCTCAAGGCCGGCGCGGGCGTGCAAGGGTTCGAGGCCATTGCTGCCGCCAACGATGCTGGGCTCGCCGTCGTCACGGGAGAGTGCCCTACCGTCGGTGTTGCTGGAGGGTATGTCCAAGCTGGAGGCCACTCTGCTCTGAGCACCATCTACGGTCTGGCCGCCGACAACACCCTTTCCTTTGAGGTCGTCACCCCGACGGGAGAGCTCCTTACTGCCTCGAGAGCAGAGAATGAAGACCTATACTGGGCATTGAGCGGCGGCGGCGGCGGCAACTACGGCGTCGTCACCTCCATCACCACCAGAGCCCACCCCGACGCCCCCGTCAGCGGCGCCAAGTTCGCCGTCACCGTCGCCGACAATGAGACGCTGTACCAGGTCATCGACGCCTTCCACGCCGCCCTCCCGGCCATCGTCGACTCGGGCGTCATGATCATCTACTTCTTCGGCCCGGGCTTCCTCCAGTCCCCGGCCATGACGGCCTACAACAAGACCCAGGCCGAAGTCGAGCAGATCCTCCAACCCTTCACCGACTCCCTCGCCCTACTCAACATCACCCTCCAGCCGAACCTCACCTCCTTCGACAGCTACAGGGACCACTACAACAACTACTGGGGTCCCCTCCCCTCGGGTAACATCCAAGTCGGCACCCAGCTCTTCGGCGGCCGTCTCCTGCCCCGCGCCGTCCTCCCCGACTTCGGCCCCACCGCGCGGCAGCTCGTCGAGCTGGGCGTTACCTACATCGGCGTCGGCCTCAACGTCTCGCACTTCGGCCACGACGGCGCCGATAACGCCAAGTTCAATGCCGTCCTGCCCCAGTGGCGCGACTCCATCGTCCAGGTCTCCCTGACCCTCCCCTGGAGCTTCGAGGTGCCCTTTGAGGACATGGTTGCGGAGCAGACGCGCATGACCGAGGTCGTGCAGCCCGTCATCGAGGCCGCGACGCCGGGCGCGGGCGCGTACATCAACGAGGCCGACTTCCAGCAGAAGGATTGGCAGGAGACGTTCTACGGCGTAAACTACCCCACGCTGCTGAGCATCAAGAACAAGTACGACCCCAAGGGTCTACTGTATAATGTTGCTGCAGTTGGTAGCGAGGCTTGGACTGTGGACAATAATGGGCGCATGTGCAAGAGCAGCTGACTTGCTGAGAGTACCTCGCGCAAAGCCAAAGTCGCTCAAGCTCCACTGAGCCCCTGAATGTATAATGTGTACCTACTTATAGTACTCCGTAAACTTCTTACGAACATGGCGTTATTCTACATGTCAATGGCTTCTCTGTCTCTGTCTCTTGCTGTATGCCATTGTTGTCATATTTGTCGACTTGGCTTGGTGACTTTGAGCTTTGTTGAGGCGAAGTGTGAGAACAGGGTTTTAATATATCATTCAAGTACCCCCTATATTCAATCACAATGCCGGTATTGATAGTAACCGACTCTCAATACACCACACGTTTGATATCATCATCCATCCTTTTAAAGGATCAATTTGACTGAGCCTCTCTCGAGAAGTTTCAAACTCACCTTTGTCGGAACCGAAATACTATACTGGAAGAAACATGATCAGGTACTCATTTTAAAGCCTGTTCCTGCTTGATTCGCTTGATCAAACGTGTGTCTTAAATCACAACTTTTCATAGCCACCTATCATGGACGTTGATTTTAATCAGAATCAAGATAGGCTCGAATGACCAAGATAAGTGTAGAGATCATCTTTCGAGGGAATCATGATCCATCGTCACCAAGTAGAGACACCACCCTACACTCAAAGATCTGATAGTTCGCAAATACAAGCAAGATGCAGCTGTCTCCCCAACACCATCTCTTCAACACACAAACTCAATCAACCCAATCCGCCTCAATCTCAATCTCCTCCCCCTCCACAACCTCCTTCCCACTCCTCACAAGCTCCCGATACATGGCCCCCTGCAACCTCTCCGCAAACCTCGCCTCGCCCTCCACCTCAACCTCCAAATCCCTCCCACAGAAAATCATACTCATGAACCCCCTCTTCGCCAACCTCGCCACGTCCGCATCGGCATCGTGACTAAGCTCCTGGAGACGGCGTCGCCAGCGCAGCCAGTGCGACATGCTGAATTCGCCATACCGGGATTCTGCGGTAGCTTGGTCTGTCGAAGGGTCGTCAACCGGCGAGATCAGGTCCGTTAACGTCTCATCGCGCCCACCACCACCAACGACGCAGGATGGAGAAGAACAGCAACGGGCAAGGAGTTGATGCGAAGCATACTCCAACCACACTCCAACAGCAGCAACCAACCCTCTCAACATAATCTCACCCCCATCCCCGTCCCCATTCTCATCCCCTCCCAAAGCCCTCTCAAAAACCCAAAACGCAGTCCCAGCCACAGACTCCTTACACAACCCAACAGCCATCACCTTTGCAGAAAACGCAGCGAGGTTCCGACTTTTCTGCGTCGCGCTCGGCAAGTGAACGTCTGCGACGAGCTGCTCCCATGCCAGCCGCAGACTCTGTCCGAACCCATACGAATCCCAACCGCCAGCACCACCAGCAGCACTTCCCACGATGCCATGAAGTTCTCTATACACCCCATCAAACTGCCTCGTCCACGCAAGTAACCCGACAAGACGATCCTGAAATGCGTCATCTGCATCGATTACCTGCGCCGTGGACGTGAACATGTACCAGAGGACGTTAAGACCTTGTTGCGCGAGGTCATCTCTATCTCTATCCGTATCTGTCTTTGCCGAACAAACACTCTCTTGCTGCTCAACGCTCGATACATCGTCCTCCGTGTTGATGTCTTCTTGATGGGAGGGAGGGGGCTGAGCGGCGGCCTTGAGGAAATGGAACGCAAAACTCTGGATCGATGTCAAGAGTTCCTGCCTTTCTTTGGCGGTGGAGGGTGTCGACTCCAGATCTGCGGTGAAGCCTGCGCGTGCTTCGGTTATGAAGGATGCTGTGTTTGGGATTGCGGGGTGGGGTTGCGTCGAGGACGACATTTTTCGTTTGGTGTTTTAGGTACTGGTCAGTGGTGGTGGTGACTCGGCGTGTTGAGGATGTGGGGAATTTCGTTGGAAATATATATCCTTGAATAATGTTGCTGTATTACTCAGAAGTCTGGCGTTTATCTCCGGAGGAATAAAGACTGAGTATGAGAAAGTTTTCATTTTCTCCAGAATTTGAACGTAAGCCATTTTTTATACAGAAAAGTCGGGATCCCATTTCCGTGTTGCAGTTTACTCATCTTCAGGCAGCAGCTCGAGTCAGCTCACGTGACATCGCAGACATCATACTTCTTTATGTCTTCTTGTAATGAGGACTTTAAACGTGATGATATTAATATCAAATAGCTGGCCAAGGTAGGTTCTGAACTGCTGTTGGTATGAGGTCAATGTCATCTCGAGATGCGGGCATGGTGTCGTGGTTTTCGCTGGGGTCGTCTTGACCAACCATGTGGCGTTTCACAGTACCCACTGGATCGAATTAGGCAACTGCCGGACGTGGAATGAAGTGACCTGGGGGTAACTATGTCGAGGTTGAGATGGAACGAATGCTATAAGAAAGCGTGAATAAATTTTTGCTTTCTCTATCTTTCCACTCTTGTGATCAAAATCGTTCCAAGTTATACCAAATCATAATTATGATGTCATTTGCCTAGGCAATTGGCCGAATGCCATAAATAACCTGCAAAGTAATACCCTCCCAACGCCGCACTATGCTTTTGACTTTTATACATACAATGTTGCGAAATGAATTCGCAAAATTCAACGGTTGAAATCCACGGAAAATCTCCGTGGTCAAAGTGATACCAGGCAGAACAAATCACTGTGGCGCCCTGGACGCACCTCCAGGAGCACCGTTACCGAGATTACTCGGCCTGTTGGGTCGAACAACCACGAAGCCTTGCTCCGAGGCCGGTCGAGGTCGGACGACCTGGAACCCCTGCTCACTCGTCCCGGATTGACCAGTGACTCTCGCCCATAGTCCGGATGAAGACCGGAGGGAGGGTCGCGGAGCTGGTGGCCTGGGCAGTTCTTCTGATGCTCTTTCTACTGGCGGCGGGCGAGGTACGTTGTAGTAGAGATCTGCTTCACGGAAGGAATAGTCGTTCCACCGTGGCCCGAGGGGTCCATCACTGGGCCTGGTAGAAGACCTTTGGGATGTCGAAGTAGACTCTTCCTCGGTCGACTCGGATAGCCGGCTGGGAGACAGGATTGACTCGGATCGCTGGACAGAACGCTTGTCTACCAACGTGGTTGATGTCGATGTCGTTCTGGAAGGCGTAGAAGAAGTGTACAAGGAGGAGCCGAGACTGCGCGGGTTCTCAACCGACGAGATGGACGCGCTGGACCGCGGCGGCCGGAAGTATCGACTAGAGGTAGTCGAAGAGTCCAGGCGGATAGTGCTGGGACTGTCCGACCGATACGTCGGCCGAAGATAGCCGGCGTTGGGTGATTCGACGGCGCTCGGCTCTGGGTACGATGTGTCTGGTGAGCTAGCAGTGTACATCGATGCAAGGTTGGTTCTTGACACCTCACGTCGACGAAGCTGGCGAAGACCATAGATCTGCAAAGCACGTGCTAAAAAGCTTATAAAACACGCCGACTTCAAAGCTTACCTCAGGTTGCGGTGCTGTCCACCAGCCCTTGACAAGTTTCGAAAGCTCACAGAGAGCAGGAACAAAGAAGCCAAGTAAAAGCATACCGCCGTGAACAGCTAGAAGAAGGTACCCGGCGGCACTCTTGACACCGTTCGTTGTCGCGAGTCCGGGCAAGAATACAACTAGGAAAATCAAGCTGCAAAGCCGAATGGTGGCCGCAATGCTGCCGATGAAGAATGTCGAGTATGCTTGGAAACCGGCAATGCTGGCCCGGAGATCTGCAGACCACCGACGGCGGCGCCACGGACAAATGTGAGGGCGAACAAGACGAAAATGAAGGTTCCGTCCTGGCGGCGGGCATCATCCGCGACATGGAGCTGGCGATAACGCTTAGTGCTATCGAAAACGAAAACGCCTAGGCTGCGAATAGGAATCTTTCGGATAAGCCAGATGAAAGCGACCATCATGCCAAGAATGAGTGCGACAGCCATTGATATATGATATGCGGGCAGGATTGAGGCATTATCGAGCTGATAAAAAGACAAGGCAGCAAGCGGAAACATGAAATATGACAAGATACCACGCAATACACGACTGCACGTGTGTCTGATACCGCCGACCGAACGTGAAGACTCACTATCGGAGTCGCGGCTTCGCTTCACGAACCAGACGACCTCCAGGATCAAAGCGACACCACCGGCAATGATGAACATGATGACCACCATATTCAGCCAAGTGTCCATTGTCATTGGTGCGCCGGCGATCTGGGTCATGAGTTCCAGGCCGTACGTACCGCCGTATGTGCCATTCAATACGTAGATGCCGTCCTCGACCCTATCATACATCACTCCGTGGGTGATAGGGCCGTTCATAAAAAGCGAAAACAAGTTGAGATGGCTGACTACCGGCTGGTAGAATCCGGGATACCGCAAAGTGAGCCCGCCGGTCAAGAAGATGAACTGAAGGTACTGGAGACAATCCCCTACGTTCGGCAGGACCGTCCGGATCGAGCGTCGTTCTTCGTCATCCACATCGTCTAGCGTAATCGGTGTGCTGTAGGCAGAGCGTAGAATGCCGACAAAGAGCACAGAGAGAAAGATGGACCATGTCGAGTACGTGACGATCGAGGTGATGGTTGAACTTAATGCTGGAGTGATGTTTGCTTCTCGACAGCTGATCTCCGAGTCGTTTCCCTCGAGGTGCAAAGTTGTGTGGAACGTCGACAATGGTGGCAGATGGCCGATATCTTCCGAGATAGATAGATATAGGCTGACAGGGTTGATCAGTGGCGAGCGCCAATTCTTGGAGAAGTTGAGCTTCTGACATGTTATCTTGGTCGTGGTATGAAACACAGCAGACCGGCCCAGCATTTCGAATTCCAGTGTTGCCGAGGGCATCCTTCGCGCCAATTCCTGGCATTCCGCTTCCTCCATCCATCTCCCGACCCGTAGGGCCAACTGGTTCTGACGACCATCGTCTGACGGCACCAAAGTGGTGCTCAGACTCTGGGGAACGAAGACATCTGTCTTGCTTGAAGGGCCGTCGCAGCCCTGCCATTGCACATAGGCCCCTGAGGCACAGTTGGCCACAAGCCCTACCAGACCAAGGCGTGCGAGCATTCCCGGCCTCAGTCGTGATGACTGGTCTCAATGCAGACAGAGCGCAGCCCAACGATATCACAGTCTGAAGTTGAGGTGACGGGTGTTGATTGGTCGTCTGATTGTCGTGATGTCGAAGATGCGGGAGGGGAAATTGAGTACGGTGAATACCGGCCGGCAAACTTCAGACGCCTCAATCTTTTTTCGTCTTCACGGTGGAGATTGGTCACGGCGTCGCAGTGCCGAGGCCGCTAACGTTCAGCTACTCGTATTTTTGGGTGTTTTCTGCAAGAAGGGTTCGCCCCCGTCGCGGACCACCCCTGACTCGCGAATCCACTGCGACCCTTTCTGCGGGGGCAAAAGAATGTATTTCATGCTTAAGTGGTCTGGCACCACCTGAGCAGTGAGAACCGTGCTTGACTGGTTGATCGCAGGATGAATAAGAACAAAGTACTGGAGCTGATCGAATAGCGTATTTTACAATGCTTCTTTCAAGTAAGAGTCTCCGTAGCGGATCAGACTTGTGTTGCTGCTGTGAAGAGCTGAGAACTCAGGGGCGTTGAGTGGAGCAACAACGTATTACAGAAAACCCGAGATGAACTAACATTGAATTCTCGTCCAAACTTGAGATGAAGGAGTGAGGTGTTAAGAGCCGCACGGGAGAGACGACCGGCCCTGATCGATTGGTTCGAGGCTTCTCAGATCCGATGCAAAGAAAGAGCAACGCCGCCAGCGAATGTGGCGTCATGATCGACGTGGTAAACAATGGGCGCTCGGGGACCGGCTCTCGGAAGATTCCAAAAAAACAAGAGAGAACACACGGATGTGGTGGTGGCGACGGCATCCTCCTTGGCATCGACTTTTGGCACCTGCACAGCGCGGCTATGACCCAGGTGGCTTCGCATGCCGCTCTGTAGATCTGAAACATGTCCAGCTGGTGTGGCTTTTTGAGATGGTGCTGGCAGAAGAACGCCTCACCGCTGGTGCTGTTCCGTCCACATCTCGTGAAGGGTTGAAGCCTAGTGAGCCGCAACTTGCCCTGTGGATTGCGACGTGCGACAGTTCTTGACGTGAGATCAAAGCCAATCCCGAGGATTCGGGACCAGGGAAAATCATCCCTTCACTTGAGCGACGATGGATCATGTCAACTGAGGTCTCAAAACACTGCCAGATTGCGCGCTATCATGATCGGCGAATGAAACTCGCATAGGTATTTTGCGACATGTTGGCCTTGTGAAGGCCTGTGATAAAGAGCTAATGAGACTGAGCACTTCGAGACGGCTGATAGCAACGGTGACTTGCCGACCCATAAGGCATCTAGAAGGGACCCTCGGCATTGACGGAGACCATGGCGAGAAAGAAAAGGGGTAGGCCAGATGTTGCACAGAGTTGTGATGTGGCCGTTGCCATGTCTTGGTGGACTGTGTATGCGCTGCGAGGAGCCGCGAAAAGAGTCCTTCATTGATGATGGAAGCTAGAAACAGCAGTCGCGGTATCAGACTCTCCGTCTGGGTGGTAAAGACAGCAGAAATGGCGCGAATATCGGCATTTTCGATGCTTCACCGGACGCTGAATCGGCGTGGCTTCCGAATAATGACCGAAAAGAGGCTGGCCTTTTTCGTAGTCTGCCAAAGTTGGGTAGCCGCATCTTCAATCAAAAGTAAGTAATGCCCGAGCAAACTGCCTAAACAGGCCATTTGATCACGTTCCGGCTAGATTAGTTTCTCTCTGGTTCTCTGAGGGAAACGGCTGATGGTGAGAATGTAGTGCAGACAAAGATAAAGATAGAAGGTTGATGGGAAGTTTGTTTGTACCTTATCAAGGGGTGAAGAGTGCCGTTGGTACCTTACATTGGCGCCGCGCTTACGCGAATTAGTAAGTACAACCACACATGAAAAAGAAACCACACCTTAAGGCACCTTAGAGTGAGAGTGTGATGGGCCGTGGTCTCCGACATGAGACGACGGGAGACTACCTAGGTACTATAGTGACTGCAGCCAAGGGATGGCTATGTGAGATGGGACGACGCAGAAGGGAGTACCCGTAATGTGACGAACAGACCTTGAGACGAAGAAAACATCCGACGAATGAAAATTGACTAGTTTGTGTGCAAGATTGCACTTTATGCGCCCTACGTTGGTTTGCAGCGTTGCAGACGGGACGCGACGGCTGCAGCCTGCAAGGAAGACGGTGACTCGCAAGTTGAAGTGCCGCGGGATGAAGACAAGAAAGACCAACTGCTGCATAGAGCCACGAAGGTGTCGCGGACGTGGGTGAGTCGTACGAGGGGGCCTTGGGGGCGTCTGTCACAATACAGCCGAGTGCCAATGTGCAGCCAATGTTTGAGATCTATCAATGCTCCGTTTGTGTTTTCGTGGTTTGGTGGAACAAGCTGCGTGGAAAAGAAACAAAAGGGCCATTTCAGCTGGCGCTGGCCTGACGTGGCGGTTGTTGGCAACTTGTTGCTTGCCCAAGGCATTTATGAGAGACGCATCCGTGATGATACGGCAACTTACATGGCGACAAACTCGAGCCAAACTGGCGGCGACGAGAACTAGAAAATAGGCGCGGCCCGGGGACACAAGTCGCTGAGAAGCTGAAAACGCTGCTTATCTGCCACAGAGACCGGAGCGAAGCCTCGTGGTGATGTTCCATGGCGGGGTAAGTGCAACTGAGGCAGGAAGCAGAAGCAGGAAGGCACGAACAAACGACCGTCGACCGCACCTGCCCCCAAAACATGTTGGAACCGACGATTTGGGCCGCCACCCTGCCACCCCCACCCCACCCATGGACGAAGTATCGGACGGTCCTTCCTCTTCTTCCGTCCTTGTCACTTGCCCGTCATCCGCCCAAGCCGAGATGGAAAGGACGAGAAAGAGTGACGAGGACGAAGGCAGGACGACGTCACTGGCAAGTTGCATCGTGGCTTCCCTCAGGCGTGCCTCATCGGTCTTCCCCTCCCAACTTGTACGATAACGATGAGGATTAAGATTCAATAGTCGCGGCTTCGTGTCAAGGTGAGCTTGGTGAGGAAGCCAGCGAGGGGCCACCCTGCCTCCCTCCAACTTCCTGAGTGGACGTCATCACCTCGTGTCCTCGCGATGGGTGCATTGTCTTCATGGGCAAGGGAGAAGGCGTGGACGCTATTTCTCAGGTGTTCCGCGGTAGCTTCTCTTCGGCTGAACCCCAGCCGCGTGCTGTCGCCCTTGCAGACTGTAGCTTGCAGCAGCGTGCATGGCTAGCGCCAGCAACCTTATGCACAATAAGATGATGGAGCTAAGCAACCAATGCACATCTTTCTCTAGCACAAGGTAGGTAAGTAAGTAAGCGGCCGGAGAAAGGGACGGAGTACTCGTGGTGTTTCGTTGAAAAGTGCGTCGTGACTAGGTGCAGACGTACCGGAAACTTCGGTGTAAGTGCAGGTGCAAATCCAAGTGCAGGTGGTGCCTTCCAGACCCTTGTCTGTAAGGTACCTCTACGGCATATGGACACTGTTCAAGGCAAGCACCTTGAAGCACCAGTGACCACGGCACCTTCCCTCATCCATTGTGTCCAGTGTCGCAGAAGGCAGGTGCGTGATTCGAGGGGTGTCCCCGCCTACGCCGCCCTTCGCTTCAAGACCCCATAACTCCATATTGGGTTTAGACAGAAAAGCCACCTAATCTTCCCCAGGCCTCATTCCCGGTCCATCTCTCTCTCTCAACTTCTCAAGTCTCCGAGTGTTTGCACTTTGCTCCGCTCTTCCGTCCGTTTGATTCTTTTTTTGGCCTTCCTTTCGTGCCTTTCTCGCGCCTCACCCGACTAGAACCTTGGCTCTCCCATCCACCAATGTCCGTGGTCACTGGCAAGCGTCGTGCTTGCTGTTGCTTGCTTCTTCGAACTTCGGATGCGCCTGTGAAAATCTTGATCTGCCGATATGCAAAAAAAAGGAACGGCAAACCAACACCAAGCCAATCTACTCGTGGCAAGAGTAATTAGCTGCCGCCGCATGTCGGTCGTTTCCCTTCCCCTTCGAGGTCTAGACACGATTTGAACCACGCGGATTGTTTCCCTTACGCCCCTCGGCCGCTTCAGCTCCGACTTGATGACAATGGAAAGAAAAATTCAGGGTGCAGACACCCAGGCAAACGCCAAACCCGAGACCAAAAGCCACAAAGCTTCGACCGACCAGCTGGGGTGCAAAAGGCGCGCATACCGTTGCGGCTGCGGTTGCGGCTGCTGATGTGCTGAACTGAACCCAACCTCACGAGTCACCAGCCTCAAGCCCTCAACAGCTCCAGATCCAAGTGGATTTTTGTGCTGCCATGGGATACGGAGCGTCGGAGAGAGAGAGATGGACAGAAAAATCAATGGTCTTGCTTCGCTTCTGTTCTGGATGAGAGGCCTGCCATCCGAATTAATCCTGGCTCGTCACATGGCCTTCTCCACGGATCCATCCGACAGTCTGGACACATTGTGGCCCCCTCCCCAGGTCCCCATGGCTTCAACCAACATCATACATGTGCTTGATGCCTTCACAGCGAGTCGAGCACAGCCGTCCGTCGCCGTCGCCGTCGCGCCCGGTCCCGTTCCGCTCCCTTGGTTCCTAAAGGTCTCTGACCATGCATCTGTCTTGGCCTCTTCGAATCCAGTCTTGTCTACGCGTCCTACGCTCAGAACATGAGCGTGCGCTCGCTTGATGGTGTTTTAGACGGTCCTTGCCGGATCGACCCCCTCCCAAGACAAGACTTCCCTGCTTACCCAGCTGTGCTTTTTTCGCTTGTCCTGAAATGTCTCTGGCGCCTCCAATATCTCGCCCTAATCAAACTAGGCTTGGCTATCCGCACCATCCCTACGGAACCCAACATCGCCAGTCGAAACAACCCAAATCCAGCCCGCCCCAAGCATGGGTGCGCCGATTCACCTCCCTCTATCCGTACGCCGTACGATCACTGTCTAGTCTAGACTCCAGTCTCCAAGTATCCGTACACCGTACACTAGGCTCTCGCACTTGCAGTCACCCTGGGAGGGGCTTCTGCATC